GTTGTGGCCCCTGCCGCACCACTCAGCGTCGCTCAGGGCTGGGGAAGCTTCCTTCAGCCTGGCAGCTTCAGCCCAGCTCAGGGGACAAGAGGGGGCTTATTCTGCCCCTCGGCAGTGTTTTGGGGCGGGCAGACCCAGCTGCGGCCCCCTGGGGACAGTGGGGAGAATAACCCACCTTCCTGCTGCCCTCTGCCAAAGGGGCCATGCTGGCCCAAGGCATGCAGCGGGCTGGGGGGCGGGGCTGGCAGACACGGCTTAGGTCCCTGCCGATAGGACAGGGAGGGGGGAATTAAGCCCCTCTTTGGCCAGTTCAGCTTGGACTGGCCAGGCCTCCCCCCAGCACAGCTTCTCTGCAGCTGAGGGCTCTAGCGCTCCTGGCCTGAACAGCTGTAGGCATGTGCCCACATGTCTGTTCTGTTACAAATGGGTTCAACCTAGGCAGGTGAGACTAATCTGCAAAGGTTGAATTAATTCAGGCTCCGGCTTTTTGAATGTCTGTCCCTAGCCCTAGGCATCTATCCAATAAATGGAAAAGTTAAGTGCCTCAGAATAGGATTCCCAACAGTCAGCAGGATAAGCAGAGAGCTTCTGAAGCTAGCTGAAAGAATATGTTGCTAAGGGGAGTGTATCTTAAATGCCACTGCTCTTCAGACCATAGGTGCCTATTTCCATTTGCAATTCATAGCCCTGAACCCTGGAGTTAGGTGAGTACGGTACAGACATCCAGAACTTGATGCAGAATCAAGATAAGTGACGTAATTTTGTATAAGCAGCATAGTTTAGATCAGTAGGAAACAACACACATTCGCCCTTTGGGGGAGCAGGAAGGAGAGCACATCTTAGACTGGGTTCTGCCATTTTTAAACCAGTCTATGTGTGCCTAACTTCTGTTCTGTTATGGGCACAAACCGGCTTCTGATCACTTGTACTGGTAAAAGTGTAATGTCTGTACCTGGCTTAAGATTCTTCTCTCAAGAATGGAGCAGAAGTTTTTCTTTTTCTAAACTGGTAGTAGTGCTCGTAGCAGCTCTTTTTGCAGGATCCTAGTGGCTAGTGCAGTCACCCAGGATGTAGAAGCTGCAAGTTTGTCGCTCTCCTCTACCAGGGAGGCCTGAAATCCATATCTCCCAAGAGAGCGTTCAAATTATCAGGTTAGGCTTGAACCAGTTAACAGTAAAACATTGAAGATGTACAGTTAGAGGGGGATAAAGTGAATTAACTTGACTACAGTCTAGCATTTAGGGTGTGCACCTGGGAAGGGTGCATGGTCTCAGGACTGCATCTCTGTTTTACATTAAACAGCCAGTAGAAAAAATATATAAGCGGTCCTTAGAATAAGGACAATTCTCTCCTGTCCCCAGTAACCACTAGGCTACAGTGTCATGTCCACTCTCCTTTCTTTCTCTGGCCCATTAAGCCTTTAATTCTTTTATGCAAAGTGGACAGAAGGGGTGAGCACTACCACCTCCCCAGATTAGCCTATAACTTAGTGCTTAGGACACTCTTCAGGGAGATAGGAGGGATGTTGTTTACTCCCCTCTGCAAAAGGAAGGGAATTTGAACCTTGTTTTTTTATATCATGGATGGGTGCTTTCCCATTTAGGCTATTGTATACAAGGCCAATGCTATCACTCTTACCAACTGCCATGTTTGAACGTAGCTGCTATTGCGTTTTGTGTGGAACGCCCTCCTATAAGTGTGCATTAAGCATGTTCTTAGTCTTCAGACAGACACTTAGCTCGTCAGCATTTAAATCTACTTTGGGTGCTTAAGAGCTTTTGTGGATCCAATCCAGCCATAGTGCTTAATGGTAATAGTATGGCCACGCTGTCATAGATGCACCCCAAAACAAAGTGCCTCTGGAGTTCGCTGTCTGCTATGCATGGATATTCTCCCGAGTTAGATTAATTCCTAAATGGTTTAGTCTCCATCTGTAACTAGAATGAAACTTGGTTCAGTTTTGTCATTTTTATATCTGTATGTATTATGCTACTTGATATAAATGTAATTTTAATATAGTCGAGGCTGCTTTGAGAGGCAGTGATTAATAGTGGCCCCCACTTGTTCACACTATGAATGGAGAATCGCTGAGAATTAAACATTCGGTAGGGGTTTGTTGACTATTGCCTACCTGCTCTGTGGTTGTAGGAGCCTGACAATGGTGAATTTACATTTTAAAAGGAATAACTCTAACATGAAGTAACATCTTGAAACAGTGAGACTACATATTGGATAAGCAAATCTCAGTGTCTGAAAGGATGCCAATATACTCTTGATCTTAACTGGATCAGGAAAGACTCTTCTGTGGTAAACATATACTTTTGGGTGGAGGGGGAACTTGGAAATTACTCGATTAGTGTGAGCCCCCCTAGAAATCAAAGGTGATGTATGTGGATAGCTAGAGAGGCAACTGTACATAAGCCTACCTTGCATTGCTTCGCCTTTAGTCTTTCCCTGTGCAGGAGAGACTAGAGTCCCTCACTGAGTAAAGGAGACTGAGAGAAGCAAGTTGACAGGAGAACTGTCAGGAGACCCTAACAGAAAGATCAGAGGCAGGGTCTGCTTATTACCCTGTTGAAGCTGGCTAGGGACAGCATCCTTGGATTCAAGGTACAGGGTAGGAACAGGCGGTTGTTCTGATATTTTGTTTTGTGTGTTTACTCTTATAGCTCTGTCTGTCTCAGCAAATAATTACTAATTTCTTTTGCTTTTTTCTATTTTATAGCAAAGCCCTTTCGTTATCTTCTTATAAACCACTTGATGGAAGTGGTAGTTGTGATTCCAGAGAATTTTGACCAGACATTCATTCTATGGAAAGGGGGATCTATTTTTTCTGAGTGTATGACTGGACAAATGTGTGACCCTTCTAGCTGGCAAAATGCCCTCTGCTGAGGGTTGGACAGGCCTGAGCAAGACACCTTAGTGCTGAGGCACCGCAGGCCAAGCAGTTGGCCTCTGGTGCACCACAGCTGGTTCTCAGGGGTGAAGCAGCAGACAGCAGAGAGGTGTTTGGGGCAGAAAGGCACACCAAAGTGTGGAAGCCACTGAGGAGCATGTCTCAATCCAGGGGCCAGGGCATGTCAGACGCATCATGAAGTTTTACAGAAGTGCCTTGATAATCTGTTGTTTTGTTTCAGTGCGGTGCTCATCTGGGGCATATCTTTGATGATGGGCCTCGACCAACTGGCAAAAGATATTGCATAAACTCTGCTTCATTGTCTTTCGAGTCTGTGGACAAGAACAATGCTGGAGAAGGCAGCAGTAGCACCAGTCCTGCTCAAACAGAGAAAAGCGAGCTGTAGGACAGAGGGCAATCTGTAGAAAACTGTTCTTATCCCACATGGCTTATGAAGAATGTTTTTCCTGAATTGCCAGCTATGTTATATCATAATAATTTTTAAATGTGTTACACTGGTCTGCACTATCTATTTTTTTTCTTTCTTTGTTGAAACTGAGGCCTTGCCTGCCAATCTGCTTTACTGTATAATGGATCTAAATATTTGTTGACTGCCTTGGTTTTCGGGGGGGATTGCTTTGGGGAATCCTTAAAATAAGAGGCTTTGACATCATTTGTTTTTAGTTTCTTCTTGTTGTTTTGTTATTGTAGATCTGAACTATTTTCCTTTTTGTTAGGGAGAAGGGAGTTGTGGTTATCTTCAGTCAATAGGAAACTCTTGAGCATAATAAAGGGTGTCTCTATATGTGCAAAAAGGCTGCTTCAACATGCTGTAATTATGTGTTGGAGCAGACTCAATTAATCAAGTCTGCTGGAGCATGGGAATTACTGCGCTCCAGCAGACTCCAGTGTCACATATATTAGTATCCCTGCACTGAAAAATGGCGGCAGGGGTGCTTTAACTAAAGCTCGTTCGACCAGCTTTAATTAAAGCATGCCCACCATCATTTTTCAGTGTGGGGATGCTGATACACATGATGCTCTGGGCACTTTAATTAGAGTGGCTCTCGGAGCCGCTTTAATTAAAGCGCCACCCCCTAACTCCCAGAGCTTGTCTATAAATGCCCAAAATGCTGAGTTCTCAGCACATGTACCTTAGTTATGACTTGAGAGGCTTGTGGCCTTTGGTTATGCATATTCAACCATTCCACAGTATCAATCATACCCAGGAAGAACTTGCACTTAATGCAATTTCCTTCCCACTGAAAGTGCTGGATGAGATACAAAGCCTTATTATTTATTTAAATTGCTGCCGACATGCAAAGGGATATAGCTGCAGGGAAGTAAACTGTATCAGAATCCATTTCCCCCCTTGTTGGATGTTGAAGTATTAAATCAAGTTCCAAAAGTATTGAGCCTTACTGAGCAGGGATCACTAAATCGCCTACCTTCGCCTTATTTTGTGAGGCTCCTTCTGCAGCTACAACTATGAGAGGCCTGGACTGGAATCATTATGCTAAAATATAAATAGGGTTGTTTATTTAGGCAGGTTGAACTTCTGGAGGATTGAACTGGACACAGGCTGAAAGTGGGTAGGCTTTTTATCACTATTTAGGGCAGTGTTTCCCAACCGGTGTGCCGTGGCACACTGGTGTGCCATCAGGCACGTCCAGGTGTGCTGTGGCATTTTGGGCTGGAACCATGCCCCATGCCTGGCTGGAACACCCCCCCTGCTGCTGCGGTGGACACACACAGACGGGAGCATGGCTCCAGCCGTGCAGGGGATGTAGCTTCAGCCCAAAATGCCGTCCAGCTGGCCATGTGCCACCCCCCATCCTGGCCGGTGTCTGGCTGGCTGTGCGCTACCTCCCCTCTCCCCCCATTCCGCATCCAGTGTGCCGCGGCGGTTTTTTATTTAGGTAAGTGTGCCATGGGGCAAAAAAGGTTGGGAAACACTGACCTAGGACAGTACCTAGCACACTGTAAGATAGGATGCAAGAAAGCATGAGAGTATAATTGAGAAGAGTGAGGCCCTTGTGCAGTACTCTTTTAATTAAGTTCTTTCGGATCTATAGACCTTCAGAAGTCCAGGCCTTCGTTATTTGTAGCTACGGTGAGGAATGCTTGTGGGGAGCTTGAGGCAACAGCTGAACATGAAAAAAGGCAGAAGCTTTCCACGGCTGCTCTTTACGTTTAGTTTAACCATCTCTAGGATATCATAATGAATAGTATAGTGACAAATGATGATTGTGATTATGATGATCTAATATCACTTTCTCTTGAGATATTCAGTGACTAATCAGATACAGTGCTTGCTTTCCTGAGTATCCTTTTGTGACTGACATTGGGTCCAATCCTGTGCCCAGTGAGGAGTAATATACTCATTGGTGTAGTAAAAGCAGGATTGAGCCTATTTGTGTAAATAAAACTGAACAAACTACCTGAGATATACTCTTCATTTTAAAAATAACCTCTGTAAAAGCATATAGAAGGGTTAGAATTGCCGCTTTAGCACCATGACAAAGGTATGAAGGAAGCATAAAGTGCTTTCAAGTAAAATAAGAAATAAATATGTTAAATATTTAGAGCTAGATTGCTTAGCCCTTGCGTAAGTGACCAGCTACTTACACGAGTAGTCCAGCTGATGTCATGGAAGCAGTTGCTCATCAACATAAGGAAAGGTTGTGCTGACTAGCCCTTGGTGTATAAGGGTAATCAAGTTTCCTATGGCCCCAGTGCTCTTTAGCAGTTTCTCACAGAAGGGCTGTTCTTATTCCTTGCCCTTGTTTGAAAAGTAAGTATTCTCAACCATGTTTTCTGACATAAACATAAAAAATGCAACATCTATAAAACTGTGCTGCATACATGTGGTTTAATTTTAGATTGCTGTTGGATTTAAGTGTTATCAAATTTCAGTATATTTCTGTCTTATGTTAAGGACATATATTACTAAAACTTCAGTGAGCAATAATGTCAGCTGTCCTACAGGAGATTTATTTTTGCAGGATATGGAGTGCAATGAAACGAGTCAATATGGCGAGGTGTATGTGATCTGTGGGAGTTATACCATTTAACATAGGAAATTCATTGTTCTCTCTGTCGCTTACTTTCTCATGGCACCACAGCACGGTGCAAGGTTAAACAAATTTCCTTTTAGTGCTCTTAGAAGATGCTAGCATGGGCTGGTATTAACAAGCGTGCACTGAGCTTGGTCTGGCTGTGACTTATGCAAGAATGTTGGGAGTTGAGTGCAGCACAACAAGAGTTTTCTATATATTTAAATTTTGCACTGTCTGGATGCTTATAAACATTTGAATGCAAATATTGTAGAAATAGAAAACTCTCTTTTATAATAGTCTCTCTATACTGTTATTTGGATGTTTGACTAGCATAACTTTTAAACTGGTATGGAAAAGATTCACATAAATATTCTATAAAGATATATATACGTGTAACTATAGTTTCAGCCTTCAGTACCTTTTTAAGAATTAAAAATTTTCCTCAAAACGTTCAGTACTTTTAAGAAATCATATATAAAATTTTCAATGAAAAGTTCTTTTCATATATTTGTTGTACACAGATATGCAATAAATTCCTTTATAAATAAACACTATTTTCTTTCCTACATGTGTCTGTTTTTGCCCCAGGTTCATCTGCTTCCAGCGTTAGCATGTCCCAGCGTTAACATTTCCTTTACTTGGTTCCCTTTAACACAGTCTGTACTTTGTACACTGGATATCCTGCTCTTTACCTCAACCAGACGCACAGAATTGAGAGGGGAGAAAGATTTGCAGAAGTGTTCAACCTTAACTCTGCTCTGCATTTTCAGCCACTTCCATCTGTTTTGGGGCTGGACTTGGGGAAGCACCATACAGATAACAATTTGTAACTTTAAGAGCTCTATCATGCCAGCACCTAGACAGCAGCTGAAGAATTTAGCTAGAAACATGAAATTTGTTAAGAATTCATCTCTAGGGGAACAGCTTTGGAACGAACCATTGATAACATTTGATAAATCAGCTCTTCAAAATGTTAAACAAAAATAAGGGGGGAAATCTTTCATGGTGTTTTCAAGCCAGCTTCCATGTTTACGTTTCTAGGATCCAGAGTTATTGGTGCAGCAATTTCCTCCTTAATTGTTCTTAAATATTAGGAGGCAGCTAAGGAAGATCTTTGTGACAGGCCATCAGAATGTCAGGTGCTGAGAGCTCACTTGTACATTGTTTATTAACCTGCCCCCCACGCACTTCTGTTTCCTTTTATAATGGGAAAAGTTGATGGATCTGAAGAGAGGGACTAATAGTACTAAATAAACAGGACTTGGGCCAGACAATCCCATTCATTGTGGTTGTTTTGCACTGCATTGCCAGCATAGTCTAGCTCTAGGAAATCAGTTTGGGAAGATTTCTAATAGCATAAAATTGGCATAGAGGCTCTTTGTGACAGGGGGCCTCCTGGGGCCGAGCTCTGTGGCCTGCCCACCTGTCACCGTGACAGGAGGCCTACTCAGGGCCGAGCTCTTCGTGGCCCGCCCACCTGTCTCTGGGCAACCGCCCGCTTATCTCGCCCGC